TTGAATCCTGATGAAGGCATGGATGTAAAATTGTCCGTTCCTTCATAGGAGGTAATAGTGGCTGTATATCAGGTGCCTCCAGGATAAAATGGCCATCATTTCTAGCCTTAATATCGACCAATGCTGTTATTAGCAAATGCCCCTCCATTGGAATGGAAACAAATGCTCCTTGAAAACTGCACTTTCTTACCTCAAGAACTGTTAGATAAAATGGTCCTGAGTATCAACGGAGACAGTGCAATGCAACTACTGCACGTCAGGGAAAGTCAGGGTTACCATACTTTGATCATCCTATTGTTCCTCTGTAGTAAAATTTTCATGGCTTTTAGTTAATTTTTGCAAAATTTAGGCCAAAATCAGAATAGCTGCCTAAGTTAGTGTATAGCGTTACATTTTTCTTTTCCTGACACCAGTTGTTACATTATTTTCTTCCTTCACGTTCGTATGGGGTTTGTAGATTTGGAGTGAATAACGACAACACTTGATGAAGTATCAAAACACACTTTATTTACCAGTATTGTCAGGACAACTCCAAAACATGTTTCACAGTCGTCGATGAACTACTATAAACACGCTGAGACAATCAGCGACACAGCCTTCAGGTTATCAGGACTATCCACGGTGGAGACAGCTTCACGGCAAAGCACTAGAAGTACAGCTCTCGACTCTGCTAGGTCATTCTCGGAACTCCACGTACTCTCGAGACTCTCTACATGCTACAACTCATCGCGATGCACTCGACGATACACAAGAGTATAGCTCTCAACTCAGTACAGTCTAAGACAAAACTCGGCGATGCACTAATTCAAGATGCACTCAGCGCTAGACTTGGAGACACTCGCTCAATGACTATCAGCTCGCTAGATGAGGCACACACACTCGATACTGACTAACTCCCCGCATACCAGCCCAGTTTATATAGCTTTTGGCTAGTGTTCGAGAACATTCTGGGTTAAACCGGTAAGAATTCATTCCAGAAGGTTCTCCATTGGTAAATGACATATCACCAATTTTGTCGCCAAACGTTGCCAAATGGGCAATTTTTTGCCAAATGTGGCAACAATTCCTTCCCCTTTCCATTTTATGGCAACCCTAAAACTGCTTTGCGGGGAAGCCATCTTACCGCGCCTGTGCTTTTCGTAACAACAGATATACAGTATATATCATCAAAATTAAAAGATAACGACAGAAATGAAAAGTAACTGATACTTAATGAAAAATTATTAATAGAAATTTCTACAAAAGCATTAGTTAACATATATTATAATGTTTAGGTACATATTAACATGTACACGAGCCAGTTTACACGAGCCAGTTGATTATTTGCAAAATATTGAAATTAAAACCAAATTTATGTAAAATGGAAAATGATGGAAAAATTGTCACCTCTTGTGGAAAATTTTTCTTTATTATGGTGTAAAGTAACCTTTGATTTCATATATTTCACTGAAGTGTTGATCAAGACTTGTGGAACTGCACCGCACTCTTCTAAAAGTGCATTTTTCAGCACCTGGAGTGTCTGGGGAAGAATTTGACGTGCTGAAATTTAGTTCACTGAGGCATCCGGAGACATGCTAAATGGGGTTCAAGTGAGGTGAGAAAGATAGCCAATCCATTTGAGTGATGTTTTCTGTTTGCAAGTAATCTGACACCACATATGCTCAAAGAGACTGGGCATTGTCATCCACTATCAAAAGCTCTGGGCCAACAGCACTCCTAAACAGTCTAACTTGGGTTTCCAATACCTCATCCATATATCTCCTAGCAGTTACAGAATTTCCTTGAAAGATATACAGCTCGAGGTGGCCATTTGTCATAATTCCTCCCCAAACCATTAAACCGGTCAACAAAGTAAGATATTTCACAAACAAATGAAGGCAAGTTGCATGTTTATCCCTCTCATCAAACATGTCAGAAATCACTGTTCAGACAAAATCAAAAATCACTATCAGACATCACTATTCAGATCTGGAATCATTAATAAAACAACACTTCGGGCCCAGTCATCTTGCCTCCATTGAACATGATGATGCACCAGCTAAAACAGATCCTTCTAGAAGCTGAAGAGAGTGGAACACAAACCAATGGTTTTCTTTCATACATTCCAACTTCATTAAGCCTTCAAACAGCAGAAGAAAGTCTAATTCAAGTTCCTGTGGCAGCTCGCAGGTCTAAAACCAAATCTCTTTAGTAGCTTCGTGGTTTCTTCGAACTGACAACAGGAAACAGTCTTCTGATGCAGTTATCATTCTTGGTCACCTTTGATCAGGCTGTCTATCAACTGATCCAGCATTTAAAAATAACTCCAAACTCTTGATATGACACTTTGAGGGATATTCAAATCTTGGGCAATCTTCAATTGTGTTTGACCTTCCTTGAATCTATCGCCACTTTTGACGTTCACTTAAATGATGTCTTTGAGCCAGCATTACTGAATATTGATCACTCTCAGAAACCACATTTACTTTAAACAACACGACAGACCACAATTTTCAACATGCTCCCATTGCGCATAACATTGTCAATCATTGAATTTGATATTTCAGGCGCTAACACATGTGCGGAAGAGCAATTTTGTGTTCAATTGTATTTAACTAACGTAAATAATTACAGCACCATCCATTGGTTGAAACATTAACTTAGCATATATTTTTCTCCTTTCATTTTGATGACCTGTGTCTATCACATTATACTCGCGAACGGGCTGGCTGCATGGGTGTTTTAGTGGTTTTCCCCATCTGTAACATGTACACGAGCCAGTTTCCCTTAGAAAGTCCTCCACAAAGGCATCCCTCCCTTAAGGCAGATAGCCCTCGAGTGCTTTGCCGTAATCTAATAAAACCAAACCATCACATTACACTTCTTAGCTACTGCAAATAAATTTTATATTTTTTTTTTCTTTAAACAAGGAGCATTTCATTTATGTTACCTATATTCCTAATTATCTTTAAATATTAAAATACTGCTACTCTTAACCTTACCCATTATCTTCTAAATTTTCCCATCTGACTGAATTTATTATTTTTAAAAAACTAAGAGTATGTGTAGTTTAATTGTTCATCAGTCAAAAGAGTCACCTTTTTCACTAACCTAATAAACATAAATTACACTCTACAATATAAAAATTAGTCAATTTTAAGTACAATTGAGACAATATTTTGACTTGGATCTTAGTTTTCAATTTTGAATATGGTTATCATTTTTCTGATTCCATTCAATCACATGGAAAAAAAAAAAAAAAAAAAAAAAGAGCGAGAAAGAAAGAAAGGAAGAAATTGTTACAATAACACCCATCATCTGCACAAACAGAAGCAGTTATAGATAAAGTGCTGTAGGTTGGTGAAGTTCCGGAACAGTATACATACAAAAAGCAGGGCTGAACCTGTTTTATTACTTGTTTGAATAATATACAAAGAAGAGTGACTTTTAACCCCTTCGCGCTGGGTAGCGCAAACGCGCGCTTATCGCGGAGGCCGGCAGTGTCTTACGCGAGCGTCTGTCCAGGGCCGAGGGCTTTTTTGCTACTAAGCCTAAATCCATGAAATTTCCGAAGTACACATTGTTTAATAATACTCTATAGAGTATTTAAACAGCTTATGCTTTATAGATATTTTTATACTATATACTTTAATTACCTTATTTCTTGTTTCAATGCATATTTTACGCATTTTATTTTCATTACTCACCATTTTATGACTTTTAACATTATACATCTGAAAACTAAATATATTACTTAAAATTCTCTTTTCGTATGAAAAATTTGAAAACAGGCCTACGTTACATTCCTTGCACTCGTATTAACTCATTTGCCATTTTGGAGGATTTTTCCGGGAATGTGAACAAACGAAGCATCGTCGTCTCATTTTCTTTATCAGTCTCTTTTGAAAACAGAGTTTTGGAAAATGTCTTTCAGTTATTCTTTCAGAATCAATATCTGAAATATTTTGCATCATTTCTGCTATTTCATGCTCTGTTAAACATTTTCGACGCTTCGACATTGCAACCGTAAAAACAGAAAGAATTCACGTCTAACAAGATCTAATTATTTTCTAAAAACCAAACTGCAAACCGAAATACCCAACGCTTTAGCACAAATAAAACTTCTCTATTTACAATAAACAACTACCACGTGCGAATAAAGTGCGATTTAAAGAGACATCATAAATCGCGCCATTCGGAAACATTTATTTCCCTGTTTGTTTATATAATCAAAAACATGTGTATGTGAGTCATGCTTCTCTCATTTCGAGTAGAAGGTCTAATGTACATGTATCTGAAACCATATGGACATACAGTGCCATCTTGTGGCAGAAATTATAGTTTTTCAAACGTTCTAGGACACTGGCACAAATACGTGACAGTCGGTAGTGAACGGGAAAATGCTCTGGCATGCCTGCGTGTCGGCAGGGAGGTGAGTGTGTTCGTTGCTGGCACGCAGACGTGACAGTTGGCGCGAAGGGGTTAAGTGAATAAATTGATTAAAAAAGACCTATTTCATCAAACATGGTAATAAAGATAAAAATTGACAGAGACTTAGTTGTACCATTCAGAGAATAAACAATGTTAGAGACTGGAACAAAAGTGGATTTAAGTAAATTTGACAAATACCAAATCATAATACTCAGATGACTAGACCAGATGATTTCTAAAACAAGAAGATTTATAATAGATATTTAATCACTGTAGTTTGTACATTTTAAAAAGTAGCTAAGAAGAGCATTATGTCAACTTAGACAACATTGAGTAGCATTGAACACAAGCCGTTCTTTATACAACTCCTCCTAAAATTTCGCACTTTATTAAAAATTTAATTTGATTTAACAAAACAGATCCACAGACTCTTTTTTTTTTTTTTTTTTTACTTGTATTTCTCTCATGCTAATGATATGAAAAGTTTTCAAACTATATTCAAAACTATATTAAAATATTTACACATTAATTTATCAAATGTTAAAATATACATAAAAACAAGGAAGGGAGAGAAAGAAAAAGCTACATACCTGTCTGACTATAGACTTAATGAATTCTTTTCGATAGCCAAGGTCAAAATTTGGATACGTCTCGAATACCTAAAATATAAAATTAAATCACCAAAGAAAACTCTTAACTTCAAGGAAGTAAATTTCCATGATATAAATCTAAAAAAAAAAAATACAATTTAGTTATTACAGAATAACATTAACTTTGACTGATAAAGACTTTAAATTAAACTGTTCATTTCATGTATGAAAATCAAAAATGAAATGAATTTTTTTATATATATAACCACAATTTCTTACTATTAAAGTTAACTAAAAATAAATAAAATCTTGGGATTATTTTACTGCATACTTTTTGTTATCAAAATCTTTTAGCAATGTCCACTTTTTAATACTATTTTTCAACGCAAGTATTTTACACTGCCACAAATTAATTAAACATTGCTTCTTTTTTTTTTTTTTTTTTTTTTTTTTTTTTTTTTTTTCCCAGGTTCTTAGATGCTTAGCTTACATTTGACATAACATTTAGCCTTCTGAATCCTATCTGAAATTCCACTTTCAATGGTAAATTATATAATAAAAATTAAATTTTATTTTCCCTCATGATTATGTTCAAATTTCTGCATCTGAAAATTTCAGCATGCTTCATTTAATTTAGCTGCATTAACAAAATCTCAGCAGTTTTTGTGTGGATTCAAGCCTACTTTTTATCTCCTTTATTGCATATAACTTGAAAAAGATAATCCTTACAAATTTCTTTGAAACAGGATATTGCTATCTTAAAATATTGGATAATACCTTGGACTAGAGCTTAGCTGAAAAATGGTCTTAGGTACAAATACTATTTGATTAAATCTAACTTTGAAACACATTTGTGGGTTGAACAGTGGCCTGGAATGAGGAAAAAGATCTAACTTCAAACACATAAATACAATGTTAAACTGGCCTTTTTGTTACATAAATAATTCACTGTCCTTCGAAAATACGAGTCTCCTTTAGATTTAATAATCATAATAGCTTTTCTGTACCAGACATATTGTGTTTGTATGGCACATATAACAGGCAAGAAGAGAACCATCAAACATGAAATTTCTGTTTTTCATCATGAAATTTCTTCTTTTTAAATATGCAGCTTATCTCACATCATTCAAAAATATAATCCAGTATCATTGATACAGTACACACCTTGTAGATTGTAGATTTGGTTTTAAAGCATATAATGATTTATTGAATGTAGGTTTAGGAAAAGCTGTAGACCAGTGATTCTCAGCCAGTGAGCCATTCACAGACTAGCAAAATAACCCATTTTTAATTACACAAATATTCTTTTAGTCATAGACATAACAAAACTTATCATAAATGTTTTTAAAAGGAGTAACAGAAATGAGTATTGTATTTAATAGGAAATAAAACTAAGTTCCTATAAAAAGATAATAGTATCTCATTAATTCTTTTAGAGTTGATAGATTTATTAGCATTTCTACACTTTACGTCACCACGATTTCCGGGCTCTTTTTCGATTAGAATAATTTTTTCCCCTTGATTTGCAGTTTCTAACAGCAGGTATTTTGTCTTCTTGTTGTTTTGTATTCATTACTTTTCTAACCCATTTGAAAATATCATAGTTTGTTTTTGAAGAACTCATAATATATTGTGCATTTAAATATTTGTAAAAAAATAATAAGACTATATTTTTCAAAATGAAAAAATGGCTTGGATTGACTAAACGGAAAAGTGAGGATTCACAGGTGATGGATCCACGACAAAAAATACTAACATTACGAAACTTAAAAAGAAAAGAAAAATTGTTTATAGAATCAGCATAATTTGTTGTTATTGCATTTTTTTATGTATATCAGTTATTCCATTGCTCTCCAATATGCAATTCTGTTTTATTATGAATAAGTACATATTGAATGTAATGAAATTTCATAACTATGTTTTGGAAAAACTTTAGATTGGTAACAACCCTCAGTTTTTACAACCTGTGAAAATTTGAGACAATATCAAGACAGCTTTTTCAAGAATTTTATACAAAAGCTTTTTTATATTTTCAAGAACTTTGAATTTTCATTCATATCACTTTGCTTTCATATTTCTAAAATTAATTTTTACATGATTTTTTACATTCTTAATTTAAAATTACATTTTTATACATCTAGATATGAGAAAGTTTTAAAACCAAATGTATGGCATAGAGAAAAGGCAAGACTGTCTTCCTGAAGCCCTTCATTTGCTTTCTCGTACTAACTGTACATATTGCATAATATTTCTTTGCTTATGCTCTAATGCTTTTGCAAAAAGGCTTTTCCGTTGCCAAGCCATTTTTCTCTTTGAAAGGCGGGAATATGTAAGATACAAAATATGTAAAATCAAAATTAACCATATAAGTCTTCCATCTCTATTCCAAAAATCTTAACTTTTCTGGATTGTTTCATTTCTAGATCAAACTATTTTGCATGACTTGCATAATGCTGATGACACAGCTTACTCGGAACCTGAACTCAAAATTTTAAGAACTGAAACCTTTCTAATCTAAACCAATACCTTTCTCTTAACGCACTGCTTACTGGATAAATGTACACTTTTAGCTTCACCTTCTGTGCTGCTTGGATGCAATATCACTGTGCTCTCTTCCTATCACAACAGTATTAAAAATGTAACTGTTCTGCAAATAGGCATGGCTAAAATGTCAAGTGAATTGTGGCCAAATGTCAATTTAAACAAAAAAATGGAATTTAACCTGCCTTGACTGCCAAGTTTCTTAGTCATTATGAATTCAACATTTTAAGATTCTACGCAATCGGAATTCTTCCTTTTCAATATGGATCTACATTCTATGCTAAACAACATTGCTACATTTCTACATCTCAGTGTTCCTATGTCAGTACTTTTAAGTTTGTTTTTATCACATATATATGTAATAGAAACAAACTTAGAAGTAATAAACAGCAGGAATTTTGATGGCATAGAGATGTTGATCCATAATGATGCAGACGGTTGAATCCATAATGAACAGCGATAATTTTGATGTTATAGAATGTTGAAATTCTGATTCACAATGAATAGGAAACTGGCAGCCGAGACAGATAAAATCTTTTATTTTATTTCAGTGAACATGTAGTGGCTGCAAAGAACTTGGCATATTATTTGTGCCTATTTCAAGAGGTTTACATTTTTGACAACTTTGCAGTAAGAAGGAAAAAGCAAACACCAGTCCAGCTAGGTGGAAGAGTAGCGAGTGCATTTTGTTCAGGATGAAATCTTAATTTAAACTGAGTTAGTTTTGGTTCTCAATGCATTTAATGCTGCTGTAAAATTATTATTTGCTGTTTGAGTTTTAGTTCCATTTACATCATCAGAATTATGTATGAGTCATATGACATGGATTAATCTCGAAATAATGCAGTGCAGAGAGAGATTACTATTTTTAGAATACAGAAGGGAAATTAATTTATGCTGTTAATTTAAATTTTATCTTTTGTATAGTCGTTATTTTTCTTACATATATATATCACTAAACTAATTAAAATTTGTGAATAAACAATTGTTACCTATAAACAAATTCAAAAATAGCAAATATTGTTGAAAAATACAGTTAAGAGTATTTTCATTCAGGTTCTAAAGAATTTATTAATACACATACTACTAAAGCACACTGCTTAACTTGTGGGAAGCAAGGCAAACTGTGAAGCTCATAACCACAAAGAATGCTTATTCAAAACAAAACATAAAAATCTTTATTCAGGTTACCAAACTTGGCCAGCTTTTAAACAGTACAGTATTTAACACTATTAAGTATTTTAGGTTTGTTTTACTAATGTTATGAATGCTCATATAACTATACCATCTACAAGAAACAATTAAAATTTTTGAATGAGAAGCTATTATTAAAAATTAGGAAAACTGCCTTGTTCTGTTTTTCATTTATTCTGTAATAATAATCGGAGTTGATTTCACTATAATTATGAAGGATATGAAAATTTATACTAAACAAACTTCATATAACCTTGATTTTAAATAAGAATAATTCAATTTATCTTTCTCTGTACATCAGCTAAGAATGTAGTGAATGTATAAATAATTTGTAAAAAAGTTGGTATTTTCTGATTAAAAAAATCCCATCCCACCATAAAATCATGAACTCATTGCCAACTCTAAAGAGTATCCATAAATTCATTAGTGATTAAATTTTCTGCCAATACATAACTCATACAGTGACTGTAAAGCAACAGCCATTTCCAAAATAACTCAAAACTATAAATTTCATACAAGAGCAACTAACAATTAAATTTTAAAAAGCAAGAAATATCAATAACAAAACACGTTTTTCAAGAAATCATTTGCGCTGTTATTCTCACCAAGTACATAACAATATCAGTATTGCACACTGGACAAAACAGAAATGTCCTATGTGTATACTTGGGTTACCACATGTTGCCAAAAAGTATTCATAAATACTTGGCAACATTGTAGATTGCTACAAAACTGTTTTGGTAGCATACTGCGTGAATATTTTTTGATGGGAGTGTGAATAATAAGAAAGCACTAAAAGATTTAAGACTAATTATATCATCTACATTTCATATATTTTAAATATTATACACACAAAAGAAAAAATTCTACACGTACTTTCCGTATAACATGTTTCATGGTAATTTCTTCAAGTTTAGATTCTTTGACGATTTTTGTAACAAGAACTCTCAACTGGTCATCCTAATGATGAGGGGGAAAAAAAAAAAACCCACAGCTTAAAATATAACAAATGATTGTTAACACAAATAATGTTAATGAACTTTCAACACTTTTACATTTAAAAAAACAACTAATATTCTGCAAGACCACATTAAATAGCTTCAACAACACAACTGAAATTCTTGTATATTGCATTACTGCATTTATACAAGGTAACCAAAAACATTCTTGCCATTTCTGATATAACATTGTAAAACTGAACCACAACATAAAAATAGTCATCAAACCTGGCGATGAAGTGGTATTAGGATGGGAGCCTGGACACTGACGAAGAGTCTAACAGCACATTTCATCACTACTTCAAACATGACTCATACAGTGACTGATTGAAATGGATACGTCAAAGGTGGTCTTCTGAAGTTGTTTGCTGTATGATTTTAAAGTGGGCTGGTCAGCAGCAAAATCAAGTCGGCGAACTTGCCAGGCCTTTGCAGATGATGCCATTAACAAATGAACCGCTAGGCAATGGTTCAAGAAGTTCAGGTCAGGGGATATGTCTCTTAGTGATGCACCAGTAATCCGCCACAAGTGCTGGATAATGAGGCCCTGAGAGCAGGCATAGAGACTGACAGTAGGCAAACATGTGGTGAGCTTGGTGCACATTTCCAGGCATCTGATGAAACGATCAGACTCCATTCGAACCACATAGGAAAGGCATACAAGCTGAGCAAGTGGGTACCCAACTGACTGCCGATGCAAACAAGCAATAGCATGTCGCTGCCTGTTTGTCACTGCTTACTCGGCATCACAATGTATCCATATTTGATCGATTACTCACCAGTGATGAAAAGGGGCGGTCCAGTAAGACACACCAGGTGTTCCAGACATTGGTTGTCACCACGAGACCCTGTGCTTCCCACTGCAAGACCTTCTCTCCACCTACGAAAGATCATGCTCTGTATGTGGTACACTAGTCACCAAGTGGTGTACAATGAGCTCCTGCCAGTGGGCCAAACCATCATGGCAGGCCTGTAATCGCAGCAGTTGGAACGTGTGCATCAGGCACTGATGCATAAAGAGCCAGCATTGGTCAATCGTAAGGGTATACTCCTCTTCCACGACAATGCGAGGCCACATGTGGCTCAGGAAGACACCATCCAGCGACTGGGCTGGGAGACACTACCACATCCTCCATACTCCCAGACCTCGTGCCTACAGACTACCACCTTTTTTATTCTCTAGAAAACCATCTTCGTGGCAAATCCTTCAGCAACTGACCAGACCTCGAAAAGATCCTCACAGACGTCTTTGCGTCCAAGACTCCCGAGTTTTACCGCGATGGCATTGCACAGCTAGCCACTCACTGGCAAAAGGCACTGGATGCCGATGGTGAATACTTGAGGATTAGCAGCGATTATTATTTGTTTTATAACTTTTTTTTTCTTACTGTCCAAAATGGGAAGAACTTTTTTTGGTTACCCTGATATTCACAGGATTAAACTCATTTAATATAATTATGAAGAGATTTATTATTTTTTCATCCATTATTTACACCTATCATTCATCTCAGAAACACAGTTGATTATACATTATTTCAAAATTTTAAGGGGACGATTATGTTTATATGAACTGCAGTGATTAATACAGTAAACACAGTTCTAATTATGCAGTAGAATATGCTCAGATGTTTTTGTGCCTGCACCAATATTAAGTTCTGATTGGATATGAGATAACATTATAATTTTACAACGTTCCTGTTTTCTATATATGTAGAGTTTGTTAACTTAATATTCTTATTCATAAATCTTTATATGTTGGTTTTCAAGTGTTATTCAAATGGCACCTCATTATTTACTGCAGTCAAACTTTGTTTATGAATAAACAAAATTACTAAGACTCAGAGGACATTTGAATTAAAGTGTTTTACGCTTTATAATATTCATGTTTTAAAATAAAGGGGAAACTCTGCAAAAACTGCAGATAAAAATGTTAAAAGATAAACTTGTAATAAGTTTAGCACTTATAATTACATTACTTTTACCTCTCTGTTACCAGAGAAGATTATTGTTTTGCAATGCTTAATACTTTCTTTGCTTCTGATTATAAATATATTTAAAAAATACAACTTACATTAGGATGGCCTATCATTTTTGACAGAGGCTGATCATCTTCATCATCACTTCCAAAATATGATACACGAGCAGGAATAATAGTTACTAGAAATATATTAAGAAAAATTAAATTTAATAAAAGCAACAAAAACAAAATTTTTCCTTATTCATAAATATAATTCTAAAAAAGGAAATGAATATGAAGGTACGTTTCAATTTTACCTTCTTTTTTAACTTTGGATAATGGCTCATCAGTTTCAGGAGGATGTTCTACTTTTACATTGTCTTGGGGAATTGGTGTGATTTCAATAGAAGTAGACTAATAAAAAATTTAATCTTTAAGAAATGAGCTAAAAATCTGAAACACCATTAATGCAAGAATTCAGTAAAACTTAGGATACTATTGGGTTGGCAAATAAGTGATTGCAGATTTTAAATAAGATGGAAAATTCAAAATTTTTACTTAAAAATATAACTTTATTAAATTAGCCATTGCTTACTTTTGTTGATGACCTTTTGCCATCTTTCAGACAGTATCATAATTCCATGTTCATAAAATTTCTGATTTTTGTCAGCAAAAAGCTGGATTAAATGAGATTTTACATCATCAGCATCATTAATAATTTTAAATTTAAGGAGTTCTGTGTGGAACCAATAATTTTACATTTAAGGAGTCCAGTAAATGAAAATCTGAAGGTGCAAGGTAAAGGCTATATGGTGGAAGTAACAACATATACCACCTTAGCTCTAATAATTTCTTGAAGTAACCAAAGATGTGTGGGGCTTTGGATTACCACACTGGAAAAAAAACATCATAGGTTTTTTTTTTGGTAAAAATTCAGAGGGCAGAATTCCTTTATAAACCCACCAAACTGATGGGGAGGAATTTTTTTTTTGGTGAATCTCAGCTTTTAAAAGTTCACTGGGCTAGTGCTGCTACACCCATGATTCCACAATATTAACGTTGAAAAACTATTCACTTTTCATCGTCAGAAATCAATCATTTTCGTTGCCTTTCAAAAGTGAATTGCAGGTGTTAATTCATTGTGGCAAATAAATTTCCTTAAGCTGATGAAAGATCCACAAATTAAGTTTCCTAACACAGAAATGCTGTTTATATGTTGAATGTTTGAATGTTTATATGCACATATATATCACTAGTTGTTCTATGACAATTTGAATCGATAATGGGCTTGATATGGTCCTCATCAACATTAACTGGATAGTTGCACCTTTTTGATTGAAAAATCACTGAAACGAAATTTAGCAAACTAATTTTGACACTGTCTTTCTTTCAAGGCTTCATTCCCATATACCACACATGCTTGTAATGAACTCTACTCTTTTCAGAAATAATAAAATAAAATATGTCTGAAATGCGTGCTTTGTTCTTCCATTTTTAAATTGAGATAAAAATGAAACCAAATAACTAATCGAAACAATTTTCTTATTAAATTAAAGATGGAAGTCCAAACAATAAGAAAACAATATAGGTTAGGTACTTTGAATACACTGACAGAACATAAGAATGTGCTAAAATCATGTCTCAACAAAATCCACAATCACTTAGCTGCCAACCCAATACATGAAACATGTCAAAATATCCACAAGACTATCTTTGAGACATAGTAAACATCATAAAACGTAAGAGCTGTTAATAAACCGGCTCACATTTAAAATAGATGTGTGCAAAATTCTAAATATTTTTTAATTGGGGGGGAAAAAAAGGAGAATACACACACACAAAAAAAGTACCTATGAATTATATAACCTGTGTAAATCCTCTTTCTTAGAAGGGAGGGAAAAAACTTGTGACACCATTTTCATTGTGATAATTTAGTTTATTTTAAACTTAAAGTTGGTTTTTCAGTTTTCATCTTTTCTACTATTACTGACCGAGTCATGCAGCTCATTCCCTCCAGATGGTTATGTAAATTTTTGAGACAAATGTAGGAGTATAAATAGATTAATTGGAACCTGAGAGTTGTCTGAGCCAGTCTGAAGTTGGTTGCTACTTGAAGTACTTGAATGTCAGTCCGAGGCTGAGCCTAGGTGTGTCAAAGCAAGCTGGAGGATGAAGCCATAAGAAATTAGCATCTATTGCTTACTGATGTTTAAATCCTGACCGGTGTAGGTGATTCCAAAGAAGTCCAGTCCAAAACAATAAGCTACAGTTGAAAGCTATGTTGAAAATAGAACTGTGGTTCTTCTTAGAGTATTTGTGGTTCTTCTTAGAGAACTGTGAATTTTAGCATAGTCAAGTAGACCGTTATCTGTATTTTTTATATCAACTTTCAAGTAGAAATTCATTAAAGTTAAATATTATTGAGTTCTTTGTCTGTATGAATCTAGAAACAGCATTTCCATCATGATAATTTCTGTAAGGAAAATCAGTGGTACCTAATAATTAGAATCCATAGGGTTAGCTGTAGGGATTACAGTAACCTAAATACTCTTAAATCTAACAGTAAGGTGAAATATTATCCACAGCATTCAAAATTTGGAAAATGATGTTCTGCAATGATCATAAAAAATGGTAGTCTATAATGAAAGGATAAAAAAATACACTAAGTGGGTAATGCTTTTAAACCAACATGAAGTAAATATTTCTTTGCAACTGATCAATGCTAATCACTTAAAAGTCAGTTCTCTTAGTGTATCCAGCTGTTGGCAGTAAAGGTCAGTTATTATTTTTGGTTTCACTTGAAGCACCTCTGAGTAAAACATTTCCCTGACATCTCATCATACACTAAAGAAACATTTTTAGGATGAGGTAATCCATTTAAGATTGATGCTACAGACTCTGGCAACTCAGGTCACGATCCTTCAACACTTGAAATTACAGTGCTCATTTCTTACCTCCTGTTAAATTTTTTTTCAAAAATTGGTTCACTTGTATAACAAAACAAAAAAGAAATATTACAGATATCAACTTTTTCACTCACAGCCTTGCAGAAAGCTACTGTGAAACTCATCAACTAAAAGTTATAACAAACCTAAAAACTTGCATCCATCTTTCAATTGTTATTCTATATATTAATGACGTTTCTGTCAGCTTGTGAACACTTTAGTTTGGATCATTATAGCTTTTACCAGGATCTCTTCAAAAATGATTCACAGACATGCTGATTTTGACACTCATTCCAGTTCTCATTCTAAAACTTCTGAAGCACAACTCTGAACTGCATACACAGTGACAATAGCTACAGAAAGTTATAACTGCAGTACCATCTTTATTAAACTAGTTTAGTAAGCAATGCCTTATTGCGTGTAATTTTAAACTATAAACTGCATGAAATACTTAGACAAACTTGATGCTTTTATGACATCTCATGTTTTCATACATTATGATCAAGGATTCTGGCCATTGCAGCATCATCTTTGACATAAGTCATCCTACCATAATTTTCATCTAAAAAATGAGTAAAACTTTTGCATACACCCAATATTACATAAATTACAATGCAACATTTACTATCTGCTTTATATATATATTTAAGTAAATGATTATGCAGTGAAACCTAACTATTTGGTCACAGCTAATTAGAAAGATCATCTAACTGAAACATATTAAAATTTTAGAAAAATTTATGCAAATCAGAGATCTGCAAAAGGCATCACTTACAACACTTAAATCATCAAAATCCTGCTTATAACATCTAAAATGTGAATACAATTACACAGCTTTCTTTCACAAGATTTTACTCACACCATTGTATTGTTCCAAGAATTCGCCCTTGGACATAGACATCTTTCCTACTGAACTGTTTTTGACAAGCAAAACAAGATAAGCAAAGCCAGATGATAGATTTAGAACTAATAATGGATATGTATGATATAACAACAATACATGTATCACTGCCGTTTCATGTAAATCAGATTAATCTCAAATAAGCCCAGCTATTTTTGTAAAAGAGTATATAACTTAATTGCTATTCACCTGCCTTTCCCCACATTTTGGATCTAAAGGAAAAAAAAAAAGAGAGAGAGAGAGACAGAGAGAGAAATTTGAATTTGAGACTTGTTTTCTGTGAAACAACATGCTGTGGAGTATGTATTTTCATTGATATAGGATCCTAGCCAATAAGTAAAATGTGCATTAATAGGCATGATATGTGGTTTAATTTGAAAAGTGGTAAATAATGGTCATGCAACATGAAAAATTAAGCTAAGTGATTTAAGTTTTTCTCTTAACTTGTATCTCTTGCATATCAAACTAAATAAAAAGAGATCTGTTCCTTCAAATTTGTCCTGGAATGGTTTGCACAAGTTAAAATGTTTTACTTTCATATGTTATAAACCTATGAATATACATCAGGTTTTATAACTGAAATGCATTTTGTTTTCAAAACCCAAACAATTTTAAATGTAGGTTTTTGATAATAAATGAGATGACTTTTTATAATTTTAGATCAGAAATTTCTCCTATTCATTTGGCCTTTCTACTGCAAATTGCATTTTTTAAATTCATAGTAAGAAAATACTGAATTCACAGAATTTTCAAGTATCTGGTGATTTGTGATCTTTTTAGATAGTCAAGCTTTTATCATATTAACATATTTACATTAATATAATAAAATACACTTACTACTTATTACTACTTGATTATAATGTGGGGATTACTATTTTATTTAATTAACACACACACTCTCCTTAAGGAGTCTTCTGATATCATAGAATTCATACACAAATATTTTTACATTAATTAAATTATTTTAAAAAAATTTTCAAGTAAAAAAGATACCTGCCAAAATTACAAAATGTATGTGATAGGTAAGTACACACAAATCTATCTGTGAAAAAAGTAAGAATTTCACCATTAATGACTGAACTGCTGAACATAATGTTTTTTTTTAAAAAAATTTACATTTGAATTTCTTAATTTAATTTACACTTTCATACTGTATTTTAAATACCTTAATTCAATTAATATTTACTTTACTTTCAAAAAATAAATAAATTAAAAAATTAAATTAAAAATTAAAACTTTCAGCAGTCAATGCTTAAATTAGTGCTGATATTAATGAGGAAATAATTTAGTACATACAAGAGAAGCTTTAACTATTTCAATCTCTGGCTGCTCTTCTTCAGTTATTGTCACAGTAGAACAACTTACAGCTATAATTCATAAATAATCATTACAAAATGAATGATATATAAAATAAAACATGAAATTAAATCTTAAAATATTTTCAGTTCTACATATGTATTTGAAAAGATTCATATAACAATTACACATCTTACTAAACTAAATTCATTTTAACAAAGTTAGTTTACACCCCCAATGTAAAATACTTTCAGAAAATTATAACATCACATATTTCAAATATTCATATTGTATTCTGAATAATTATACTACATTTTACAATACATGTAAGATATATTAATATGCCTTTTAGGGTGATTAAAACAGAATTTATACTTCTAAGGTAAAGCACATATATTAATTTCAGGATTCTGAATTTCAGTTGTGACTACAGAATGGCAAAGACTTTAACCTTGAAATAATATTTCAATTCATAGCTTTAAAAGAAGTTATGTAATGCACAATAATTTCATTATTCAGATACAGAAATATGATTATTTTTTTAAACAAATTGTTGCCATTATGATGTTAAAGTGGTAAGACAAAGAAAAGCTGATAATTGTTACAAAGAAAATTCATTTAAGTAAAAGAAAAGTATGCTATAATTTTCTAGCCACAAATATATTTAGAAATTAATCACTTGCCTTGTATAAACCATTGTATGTATTTACTTACTTTTAATAAAAAATTGGTATTTTTATATGAACATAACAATATGATACTAATTCTAATAATTATGTCAACAAAATGCAAATAAATAAAAAATAATCGGATAAACTGATGGCACACTGTATCTCTGATTTATCATCTAATAAGTTACAGTAATAAAGATTTTGAGAAATTCTTCTGAAGCTATAATAAGAATAATTTTATTGTCCAAAAAAGTCTGCCATTTTTTATGATAAATATACAAAAATTTTTTAAAAAAGTTCATTGGGTCATATAAGCACCATTTTGTTCTTTGTTTTTGTTCTTTATATCTATCTACCTATCCATATACTGACTTTAATTTTACAATTTTACAGAATAATCTTCACAGAGCTCTTTAGTCAAGATTTTTTTAATTTTTCACTTGTTAAGCAATTACAAAACTGCTAAAGAAATATGAACCAGAAATTTCATTTTTTTCTCAAGAAAGAATTTTTGAGAAGAAATGTTAAACATAAATCTTGCAGATAAGTTTTCAGTTTCTGTATTCCTTTATACTTGCGTTATATTATATTGAGAACCTAATGCAGACATATTATATTTAAATTAACATCTAAATTTCCAATGAATTACCATAGAATATTCAATTATACTACATAAAATCATATTCTAATATGAAAAGAAGTCCACAATATAATAATGATAATAATAAAAAAATTAGAGAATGAAGAATGAGAAATAATGATTAAAATGGTTAAAAATCACATGCTTCCTCTGGTAAATACCAAATTTTAGAACATACCTGCATTAGAAGTTGGTGCAGTAGCTTCTTTATCACTTGAAATATTTCGGATTTCAGAAATAACGATTTCAGGTATAATTTCCCTAAGCTGTAAATGAATATAATAATTAAAAAATATACAAGAAAACAAGATTATGATTCAGCATTTCACCTACTCAGAAAATTTTTATAGAATAATAGAAAACATAGTATGCACAACTAAGCATAGTTATTTTCAGAAACCTTGCAAACTCACAAAGAAAAACAAATATAGAGATAGATTTATACAGATAAATAATTATAAAATTCTCAGTTTTATTATATACTAGCAGCTATGCTACCAGCCTTCGTCTGGCTTTTAAATGTACTGGAAAGATGCCTGAAGGGAATACCAAACATTAAATTTAAAAGCTGCACAGAATTTTACTCTGCAAAACAACTTCAGGGAAAATATATATATATATATATGTCATAATAAAAGCAAAGGAAAAACGGAACACTGTAGATGCGTAGTTATCCTATATTGAAGAGGAAGTAATCCGATTGCGTCGTAAGCTAATGTGTTGACTTCGTAAATAAAACTTGGCAGTAGAAGCGATTTTAATTCCATTTTTATTTCCGATTGATATTTGTGGCCACAATCACCTTGGCACTCTAGTTATGCCTATTCAAGAACATTACATTTTTGATATAATTGAGAAGGAAAGCAAGCCAGCGAAATTACATCTTAGCAGAGTAGAGGGCAAAAGCTGAAGTGCGTAGTTATGCAAGATGGAAGCACGCGAAAAGTTTTGGTTTACAATTCGGTGATTGGTCGTCAAGAGGCATCTGGTATTAACGGTTACGTAAGATTGCATGATTAATTTGAATGACGCAATGCAGATAAGTTATTACGATTTTAGAATAGAGAGGAAGAATTTATGTTTATAGTTATATTATAATTCTGATTCATACATTTTTTATCTTACATATTTCCCCCCTTCAAAAAGAAAAAGGCGTAGCGACAGAGAAGCCTTTTTAAAGAGAGAGTTAAAGCACTAGCAAATAAAAAAGAAAAACATAAATCATAAAATTTTGATTCTATAAAAGTATAACTTATAAATATAAATTTTTTTTAAATAAATTTTTAATTTTTAGAGTCCTATTGCATTTTTCAGCATTTCAGTCCAAAAGTCTTTTTGTTTGAGAGTTCACATAATCATAATTCTTCAGGGAAGGTTCTTGATATCACAGAATATCACAAAATAAACTTTTACATAATCATTACTTATAATTTAATGTAATGCACATAAATATTTATGATACTTATTTCTATACTGATAAATTATAATTTAACATCATAAATAATAGTATTAAGATTTTCAGAATTTATGGTTTCACCGTTATCATCTTTCATTTACAATTCCTGATTTTACCAAACTGGAAGCCTCGCAATACTTCTAAACAAACATATCCATCAATAGGGCTGTCCTCTTGAGCTAACCAGTGTGTTCTCTGCACTGGTGGCCCAGGGTGCCTAGACAGTTACTTGAAAAGGCCACCGTTCCTTGCATTAAGGTAACTGGCCTTTTGAGAACTGCACTAATACATTCCATAATAAAAAATATAATAATAATATAAAAAAATTACAAACACTCATAAAATGAGAGCCTCCAACATTATCTTGCATGAAGAGGGTAAAAGGAAAAACTGGTACAGAGGTAATTACAGGCTTCTGTTGAAGGAACCAGTACACCCTCTTCATACTATACTTAACACACAATAACCCACAAATTTTAACATGCATTTACCATAATTTCATATTACTTATCTGTACTAATTTCACTTATTTTTAACATCTTTATTTTTAGAATAATTATAAAATTCGTATTCAAAATTCTCAAAAAAATTTCAAAAACATAAAAACTTATCTTAATATCCTTCCCTATGAATAATTTAAATAGCTTAAAATTCGTTACTTTAATTAATGCTCACACATAATTATGAAAAATTAGAAAAATCAATGAACAAGAATTTCAGATTTTCCCAAACAAATTGCAGAAATTTTAACCACAGTTGAAATGAAAACTATAGAATCCGCAGCACATTAAATAATTTAGTTCCTGAGCTAGATTCACACGAATAGAATAATTTTTGAGCTGTTGAAAAAGCGGAAGTGCAAATAATTTTCTGTCGCACATACTTGCAAACACTAACTCGAATCGACCTTGAACCCGCTGTAATGCTTAATTCCTAAACAGTAATTCACTGATGATTTAAAGCACTTTTTTTCTAAATATTGTAGAGATCAGCAAAGCAAATTCAATATTCCTTTTCACTAGGCATTCGAACTTCTCAATTTATCGAGAGATTACTTTCAATCTGTGAACACTATGCATGATTTTTTTTTTTTTTTTTTTTTTTTTTTTTTTTGAAACACCACAGCAGAAGAATGATCTGTTATTTTTTAAACACTGAAAAAACAAATTTGATGATTCACTTCTTTCACATTATCTTGGATTTATCACAAAACGATGATTTGAAGAGCTGAATTAAATTTTCCATTGAGGTTTCAGGCTGCAGGAAATTATCCTGCCCAAGAAATGTCAACTTTTCCCAATGTATTATTCTGAAAAATTTTTTGACCATTAGAGTTTCTAATGCATCAGGATCTGTTTTAGAAATAGTAAAAATCTATTTAAGAAGTACCATGTCAGAAGAATGATTAAACACTAAGCGTATATTATATATATGTCATAATAAAAGCACAGGAAATAACGGAGCACTGTAGATGCGTAGTTATCCTATATTGAAGAGGAAGTAATCTGATTGCGTCGTAAGCTAATGTGTTGACTTCGTAAATAAAACTTGGCAGTAGAAGCGATTTTAATTCCATTTTTATTTCCGATTGATATTTGTGGCCACAATCACCTTGGCACTCTAGTTATGCCTATTCAAGAACATTACATTTTTGATATAATTGAGAAGGAAAGCAAGCCAGCGAAATTACATCTTAGTAGAGTAGAGGGCAAAAGCTGAAGTGCGTAGTTATGCAAGATGGAAGCACGCGAAGAGAAAAGTTTTGGTTTACAATTCGGTGATTGGTCGTCAAGAGGCATCTGGTATTAACGGTTACATAAGATCGCATGATTAATTTGAATGACGCAATGCAGATAAGTTATTACGATTTTAGAATAGAGAGGAAGAATTTATGTTTATAGTTATATTATAATTCTGATTCATACATTTTTTATCTTACATATATATATATACGTCATCCAAAAATAAGACGCTTAAAGTTAGCAGCCATTTTACTACATGTTTTCAGAGGGACAGCTTTACATCGCCAAGGTCAGTTTTTTGTTTCTTTTGTTACAACTTTTTCTTGGTCTTAGCAAGACCCACTGAGTTGTTCTTTTCTCAAATTTTTTTTTTTTAATTTTATATTGATTATTAACTACAGGTTTTCTTACAGTTTTATAAAATCTACAATTTAAAAATTAAATTGTTAATCTTTAAGCTTGCAGGCCCAGCCCGAATGTATTTGTATTTTTAGGACTAATAGCTCATCGCTATTTATTTTCGTTTTGATTTTAATTTTAGACTAGATTTAGAAAGTTTGATTTTGATTTACATATTTTAAACACCTTAATGTGTCTTTTCTAAGCGGACGCGTCGGGAAATTGGAACAGAGAATTGAGACTATTAAAATTTCCAAGACACTTTGTCAAAAAATTTTTTAGCGTAAAAGTTTCAATTGTCTGTTTCGGCGAAACGCGTAATGGGGTTTAGCTTGATTCGACGTTCAAACAATGAAATTTCCCTTGAAAAGCCTGTTTGGATATCGAATTGGGCTAATTTACCATTTTCCGCTTACTTTTTAAACTTTTTCTGTTATTTAATTTTATTGTATTTATGTTTTACATGTCTAATGATTTGCTTTTCATGTGTATTGATTTTTGAAAACGTCTTTAACCTTTTGGAGCGGCAGCTCTTGGTAACTTTTAGGCGAGCTTTCTACAATTTTTATTTTTTACTTATTTTGCAGCATATTGCGCAAGATGTTTTCTTGACCAAAATTGTTTTTACTGCTTTGCTTGATAAATTATATATATATATATATATATATCACGAATTAAAAAAAAAAGTATTACATATAAGAAAATTATACAATGAAATAAGCAATACCCCTTAATACAATTATTAATTACCCTAATAAATAAATTAACCAACTTCCAGTTGCCTTCTCTCAACAGTATCCAAGTATCTAAAAGAAACATTAAATTTAAAAACTGCTTAGAATTATCACCCTCATTTTTCGAAGTGGCAACAGTGCTGATTTTCAACAGTCAGCAGTGGAGTAAACAACTGAATGAAAAACTGTTGCCAAAACCATATTTCTAGAAGAATGACACTATTCAAAATGATGCGATAAAATCAAAAAGATAAAATTAAAAAAATCCGATTCAAATGTTGAAAAAAAATCGCTTCGAGGTGCACTGGCTCTTGTCTAGATGCACCTATATACGAAATTTCGTAGCCCTGAGTCTATTAGCTTACGTGCAGCACAAATGAAAGACACAAAGACTTTTTCTTTCATTAGATGTAGAGATTACTCTCAGTTTTATATTGCATTTTTTTTTATTTTTTACTGTTCTTATCAAACAGTTTCTACTCTGACTTTCTATCATACTATTTTGTCGTGCCAATAGCAACCTTCATCTCAACTCAATTTCAAGCAGTTAATAACGTAACAGTAAAATGGACTCTCTCAAACTTTACTCTTGGGAACCCTTAGTGCTTTCAAGAATGTTGTTGTGATAGTACCATTTTGAAATCACCTTTGGTTAGGGTAAAACCTACGTAAAGTTTACGATTTTGGACTATTAATACGTATAACAAGCCAAATGCCTTTCATTTGTATATTTCTTTCATTTCAATTGTAACTTAATTTTTATTTCTTTTTCTTCCTGTAATTTTGATTTATTTTTAAGTTATTATTCAGTATGAATACTATATTTTTTGTTTATTTTTTAAATCAATTATATTTAATTGTCTATCATCGCATCAGGGAATTATTTCTAATTTCTGAACTGCTTTAAGATATAAATTCAGATTTTATAAAATCGA